CCGACCTGAGGAGGCCCAAACCATTAGCCCAATCATCAGGCCCAAACAGAAACCCAATCATCCAATCAGCCCAAGCCCAGCACCAGGCCGTCCAACCATCAGCGACCAGCCCAAGTGATCGGTTCAATCCGCCAAGGTGAGCAGCCCATCCGTGAAACCCGAAGCCCAATGCCAATGCCACGGTCCAACTAGAAGTCTCAAACCAACCAAATCCAAGTAGTCCAGTCGTGTAGAAATCCAAGAAAGTCCAAAATCCAAGAAAATAACCAGTGAAGCAGTCTCAAGAAAATTCAAATCCACAATGATGAAGATGAAAGTGAAGAGATTCCAAGAGAGGAAATCCCAAGAGAAATGGAGAAGGAAGGAAGAAGTACCACTATGGGTCAGTGGCCAACCCTTAGCCCATTACCGCCGACAGATAGCGGGTGCTCTAACCTCACGCGCAAGCACTGACGCAGGCGGAAGAAACCTCGTCGGGCATTGTGTTCAGTTTTGTGTTCAGTTTTGTGAGTTTAACTTGAACCAAACTTGGGCATTTGATATCAAATTTGAAAAGAGATTAAAAGAATGGCGGTAGTTAAGAACCAAACTGATTAGAATGCTGGTTTTTACACCCATACGATACCCAAAAGCTCTTTATGATACTTGGGTATCAATTTTTTGCATAATTTTTATATGATAGAGATTTAATTCAAATATGTTGTTTGGATTTTGCAGATGCAAACAAAGATAATAATACAAGAAAAAATGGTAAATCTTTCTTGTAAATTGAAGTCAGGTCTATGTATAAGATAGCAGAGCGAAGCTAAATTGATTTGGCATGGCATGAGTTACTTGGCGGGGCTTGTGGGAATTTGATGAAGACACTATTATTGGAGAACATAGCATGGAACAATATAATGACTCTATTGCATTCCTTTTTAATTTGTTTTGAGCTCATTATTAGAGGATCAATTGATGTTGGAACTCACTATTTGGTTTGACACTAGATTTTTGAGACTGGCTATGGAATTATAATTTGATGATGGCTCAGTTTTTATATATGCATGATTTTCAAATTGAGTTAACTTAGGGGGTGTTTGACAACTTCTGAATGGGTAAGTGCTGAACCAGTAAGAGGTCTGAACCATTAAGAGCTAGTATATTGTTTTAACTATTCAGAAGCAAATGTCTGATCAATTCAGATAAGAGGTCTTAACCATTCAGACTCTGTATAATACTTAACCATTCAGAGGCAAATCTCTTAACCATTCAGACATCTGAACCATTAAGAGGCTGAAACAAACAGACCCTTAAACTTTAGTTGCCTTGAAATATATATATATATATATATATATATATATATATATATATATATATATATATATATATATATATATATGGGATTGACTCAAGTGAGATGACACTTTATCACTTTATGGTGAGATGACATGCTTCGGTGAGATGACGCAAAGCTCACTACATTACACTACAAAGCTCACCAATGGCCAATGTAAAGCTCACCTGGAAATAAGGCAAAGCTCACCACTTTGAACACCAAAACTCACCTTTTTTTTATTTTGAAAATTAAAAAATCAATAAAAAGTAAAATAGCAACACCGGTCAACCACCGGTCAGTGGTGGCGGCGCGACGGAGGTGGTCGCCGGCTGCGGCGGTGCGGTGGAGACCGGCGGCGGCGGAGGTGGTCGCTGGCGGCTGGGGACCGGCGGCGGCGGAGGTGGTCGCCGGCAGCTGGGGACCAGCGGCGGCGGCGGAGGTCGGCGGCGGCTGGCGGAGGTCGGCGGCGGTGATGTTCAATGGTCAAAGTCTAGTCAGCACCAATTCCTTTGATTTTTTTTTTCAAAAAAAATTCAAAGTGTTGAAAAAATATGGTGAGCTTTGCATTACAGTTTAGTGAGCTTTGTAGTTGTTTTTGGTGAGCTTTGCATTGGCGAGCTTTACGTCATCTGACCGTAGCATGTCATCTCACCGTAAGGTGTGTAGTCAATCCATATATATATATATATAGATACATACATACATACATACATACATACATACATACATACATACATACATACATACATACATACATACATACATA